CACCCCCGACGGCGCGACGTTACCAGGAGTACCAGTTTACGACATAACTAGTGGAGGCGAGGAAGGATACCTCCACGGCCCCTACATGCGGAGTTACAGTGGTGACAGAGGCGGGCTGACTCCACGCCCCCCTGTACCACGGCATTACAGCGGCGGCAGCAGCGGGAGGGATACCTCCATGTCCCCCCTGCGCCGCTAGGGCATTACACCGATGTTGCTATAACCAAGTTTTACTGTAATTTGTTCTATAAGAAAAATAATCACTTACAGTTTCAAGGCGATAAGTATCCATGTTTTGTTGTTGAAGACTGGCTTTCATAGTGGTTAATTAATGATGTTAATTCCATTCTTGGGTTGTTACACTATGTGACTGTAGATGATGTTGCCTACATTTCAGAGGCACATGCTGTCTCCATGTTCAGAGTCACTGCCCACAAACACACCGTGTAACAACCAAGAACAGAATTAACATGAGTTATTGGCTAAGGCCAAGAAAATGTGGGTCTATACATCTTCGTCGTGTAGTGCTTAATTAGTTAAACACGGGGACAACTTTACCTTGCCTAACTGAAAACTGTTAACAGACTTTTAACTTTATACTAAAATTATCAGCTGCAGTTTGTTGATTTGTATCCTTTAAATAGAATAATGTAACAATGCTAAGAAATAAAGAAAGCAGTCTTCTGGGATTTGGCANTTGCAGATTTCTAATATTTTTTCTTCTACCCTGAAGATGGAGGCGATACGTTCCTCCGAAACATCGGTTAACACCACATATACACGGTGCCAAATCTCTTCATAGTCACCACCATGAAAGCCTCAAATCTTACAATGCTAACAAATGTTATATCTCATTTTCATATACTATATGTTCTTAATATCAGGTTTTAGGTTCTGGAGAAACAATGGATTTTCCAAATGGACAGGCCGCATATCGGTCACCACTGTGCAAGCTGCTGTTTAGAATTGAGGGTGTAAAGTCAATATTCTTTGGTCCTGATTTTATTACAGTCACCAAGGTAATAACATCTAACCTTCATTTTAAGTGTTTAACATAACTTTACTCATCTCTGTGCTAAATTAACTGGTGCTCCACTATTTCAGGCCTCTGGACAACATAGAGCTCAGTTTCTGACTCTGAGGACAGAATTATGGATAGAATTTTTATCGTAGGATTACTTTGTTATATTCCTGTTGGGATTTTAAGGTCATTAAAATTTGTCAAGGAGGTTTTTGTAGCTTCTCAAAGTGTATGAACAAGTTTTATTCTTTGTGTATTTTATTTGTATACAATTCATAGCAGAAGAATTTTAACTAGTAAATTGTACTTATTATTGGGATTGTATTCTGTTTGTGATGTGATGTGTGAATATTCATAAGGAGTGACTCATGAGGGAAGCAATGGCCTGTAGATTGTAGCTTGCAGAATACCAGCTACTGTGCTTTACTGAATAGAAATCCGTCTGGATTTTAAAGTTCTGTTTGTGGAAGCCATGATTTTACAGCAACTTTTGAAAGAAGTGTCTTGCAGTACTCAAGACACATTTCCCACTGAAATAAGTTATTCTCTCACAGCAACTGATTTTTTTTTTTCCCCCTGTGATATCCATAACTTCTCAGTTTTATTTCTGAGGCCTACAGACATTATGATTAATTTCTATCAAATTTCTGCAATTTACTGAGGGAAAAGGATTGCATGCTTTAATGATAACCCTGGCCCTCTGCTGATTATGTTTTCAGTTGTGCCTTCATTGAATTTTTATATATATGCTGGTGCACTCTTCTGCTGGAAGTGTGCACTATCATTTCAAAGAAAGTCCTGAAAACGTTAGTGGTGCTTCAGGAATTTGTATTAATAGCTCAAGAGTTCGATAGTGGCAGCTTTCTCATATCAGCAATAGACGAAATTTCACACTACTTTCTTGTGTGTGTAGCAGAATGCATTTCCTTCCTATGTTAGATAGTGGTATTTCACAAATTTCAAAATCAGCATGAATGTCATTGCATCTGTGATGAGCAGGGCCAGGATTTTGATGACATGTCATCTTTTTTCCCTTGTATCCTGTTCGATGCCCGTAAATATATAAATCCTGGAGATGAGCTGCTGGTTACAGAAATGTAACTTTTATAGGTCTTTTTGGTCATTTTTAAGTTTTAGGTGACTTTTTCAGTTTTGGGGTAATTTTTCAGTAAATTTTTGGACTTCTAAGAGTATTTTGTGTCATTTTAGANGCCATTTTAGGGAATTGTTCTTCCTATGTTTTAAAAAATGTGAATAATATGCAAGTAAATGTTTTTTCTCCTTCTACTGCCTCTACAAAGGCACCCTGCAGCTGCACCCCAAGTACCTGATACCACAGTATGCAATAGCTTGCAACCGTGTCCCGTCCTTTCCGTTCGTTTTGCGGGAAGTGCTGACAATACATATCATAAAATATTTTAAGCTGGCAGCAGGGTATGACAGCGATCACTCACACTCAGCCCTTTCCAAGTTTTGTGCAAAGGAATTTGCTTAGTTACAAATATTTCTAGTCGGAATCCCTAACTTTTTATGACATATTGTTGCTCAGTAAAACTCCGTCTGTCTTCAGTTTCTCACCCTTGAGCATACAAAGATACAGTTGACGAAAGGTTCTCAGTGTGAAAAGTTCAGTTCTGTGTTGCACTAGAGTCATCATTTAATCACAATGCCTAAGCAAAGCCATCTAAATCATGTCATTTAAAGCAGATTGTAGCTGAATTTGGAGATGATATATTTTCAACTGACAGTAAAATTTTATACTGCAAGATGTGTAACAGTGGCAGAAAAAATTCTCACGTTACAACATATTGCCCGCAACAAGCATATACAAGCAGTGCAATTTTTGAACAAAAAGAAATCTGTGCAAATGTTACTGCAACAGTGTTCATTGGAAGGTGGAAATAAGTCATCAGATTTTTTTCACAGATCTGTGTGATGCTCTGGTGTCTGCAAATGTTCTGTTTTGGGCTATGAATAATGAAAAACTGAGAAAAAAAATCTGGAAGTGATTTGTGGTCATTCTATTCCGGATGAATCCACTACCTTTCTAAGTGCTACAACAATATCCTGGAAATGATTAGGAATAAAATGCATGAGAAGAAGATTTTCATTTCTATTGATGAGACCTGCAGTACGGAGTTTCACTACGTGGCAAACGTCTTCATTGAAACCTTGGAAATTTCTGCTTACAAGTGAGGTGCTAGAATCCGTTAATCATTTCACAATTTGTAAACTCTTTGACGGGTCGATGTTTCTACTGTGGCCAGAGGGTATATGACACGACATCGTCTTCCTTTTGGTGACCGATGCAGGCCCATATATTTTAAAAGTAGGCAAGTCAATAAAGTCGTTTTATACGAAATTGGTGCACATTACTTGCCTAGCACATGCTCTGCATAGAGTGATGGAGGAAATGAGATCAGGATTTCAAGAGAATGCTCTCTTGTCGTGGACGAAGAAGATTTTCCTCAAGGCTCCAGCTCATAAAGTGCAGTTTAAACCTATGGCTCCTGGTGTTCCACTGCCCCCGGTACCCATCATCACAAGGTGGGGAACTTGGATTGATGCTACAATTTACTATTGCAATCATTTCAGGTAGTGAAGAACACTGTAGATTCAATGAAGACGGAGGATGCGAGGGCAATTGAAGCTGCTCAGGAACAGTTCTCGTGCAGTGAAATGGAAGGACAGTTGGCCTCCATAAAGGCAAATTTCAGTTCCTTGACGGAATGAATCAATTGCTTACAGGAGAAAGGAGCAACACTAGAAGATTCGCTCGCTTGCTCACACTGGTAAAAAAATAGCCAGTGATTTGGAGAAAGTGTCGGGACATTCGTAAAATGGTGTCAAGAAAAATGAAAAATGTTCTATATAAAAACTCAGGTTATGAAACATTATGCAGAAAATCTCTAAATCTGACAGGAGAGTCCTTCAGCGCTTTCACTATTGAAGAACATACTGCTAGTGATTTGGTACACTTCAAGTATGATCCCATTGTGTCTGTAGATGTGGAAAGCAGTTTCTCCAAGTGCAAGAATGTACTGTCAGACAATAGGAATCTCCACAGGTTGACTCATCTATTACAACTCTGAGAGAGGCTACAGTTAAGAATATATACTGTATATGTACATTATACAATATGTAGCAACTATGCTACCATCAACACAACAAATATTTCAGTATTACACTTAGATCTTTAGTACTGCAACATGTTTCGGTCATACATGACCATCATCAGGCAGGAATACGTGCAGTTATTGAAATACCAATACGGATCCCTATCGGTGCAACGCGTTGTATTGAATATTAACATAAAAACTTTGCCTCAGATTGGAGTGTAGTTAAAATAGCAAATACATGATTAAAAAGAAAACGATATAAGTATATAAGGGTATACTATAAAATGTTGAAATATTATTAAAATATATTAGAAGTATATAAAGTATATTAAACGGTATTAAAAATATATATGTAGGTGGGTGTACGAGGGGGGACCCAAAAATAACCGGAAACGACCTGTTGCGCGCGCATGCTTTGTAGTTACGAGTTGTGCTGCTAGGTTGTGTTAGCTGGGGGTCTCCCGCGACTGTTAGTGAGCTGGCGTCAGTCTGAGTTAAGTGGTTTGTCTGTGGTGCTCTGTTGTGTGCGTTCCTGTTTCAACCCTTTGGCGATTAGTGAGATGGCCGACCAGAAGGAACAAAGAGTGTGCGTGAAATTTTGCTTTCTGTTAGGGAAAACTGCACTTCCCTCTTCAAGTCGCGGCAAACATTCACGCGGTTTTCTCTTTGGTCATCTCCGAGCAAGCGAGGAACAAATTTTGCAGACACCCGTCTCATGTGCAAACCTTCGGTTAAAATTCGCTGGACCGTGCTCCATGAGATGTTCGTTTCCTCAGAAAGTTGGTCAATGGTCTTTCGACGATCTTCATCAATTGCACGTTTGATTTTGGCAATGTTTTCGTCATTTCTTCCTGTCGAAGGACGCCCGGGGCGTGGCATGTCTTCTGTTGACATGTTGCCAGATTTGAAACGGGAAAACCACTCGTAGACCTGTGATTTCCCCAAAGCATCATCATTAAAGGCTTGCCGAAGCATCCCAACAGTCTCGGCTGCAGTTTTCCCTAACAGAAAGCAAAATTTCACGCACACTCTTTGTTCCTTCTGGTCGGCCATCTCACTAATCGCCAAAGGGTTGAAACAGGAACGCACACAACAGAGCACCACAGACAAACCACTTAACTCAGACTGACGCCAGCTCACTAACAGTCGTGGGAGACCCCCAGCTAACACCACCTAGCAGCACAACTCATAACTACAAAGCATGCGCGCGCAACAGGTCGTTTCCGGTTATTTTTGGGTCCCCCTACGTATGTACATTTGATAAGCTTTCCAGCATGGTAGAAAAAGTGGTATTAAAACATTTAGCTTCAGATTCAGCCATATGTTGCTTAATTTTCAACATTAAATGAAGAACTTAAAAGAGTAATGATGATTTCTCAGTGTTAATAAAGATTAAAAAATACGTTTTAAAAGAAATATTAGATTTTCCATGACATTATACATTTTAGGTTGTTTTTTTTACTTCTAGGTCGTTTTTCTGGTTTTTTTTTGTCATCCGGGCCCTGGTAATGATCTCTGTATTTGGATTAATATATATAATACTTATACATTTTCTATTTATTTACTTATTTCATTAATCTCAGCTTGCGTACAGAACAGATTCATGTCTAATGATACAGGGATGTTTCACATTTGATTCATGTTATTTCCATGTTTGGTATGACAGTTAGATGAAGATGTTGAGTGGCGGATTTTAAAACCTGAAATCTTTGCAACTATCATGGATTTCTTCGCAAGTGGCTTACCAGTTATTACTGAATCTGAACCTTCATCTGACACACGTAAGTGGGATTCACTTGAAGTTCATATGTGCAAAACTCCTTCTTTAGATTGTCTTTTTTATAAACGCATGACTACATAATTATGGTTGCAGAAATTACAGAAGATGATGATGAAACAGTCCAGATGATAAAGGAGTTGCTAGACACAAGAATCAGACCTACAGTGCAGGAGGATGGTGGTGATATCGTCTTCATGGTATACAGATATTTTTTATATTCTCGGGGTGCATCAGTTACTGTGAAGAATTTAATGTTTACATAGTCTGTTAACTGCTTCAGAAGTAATCAAAGGGAAATGTTGGAAATATGAAGAGATCTGGTAAAAGGTATAGCTATCACTGTAACTGGCCATGGAGGCCCATAGGGGTTGTGAGACGTCGAGGCTCCAACATTTTCCAGACAATCAGCTCACATATGGCGCTCAGCTTTACAATCTGGCTGCCCCCCACCCCAGGAAGATTTCTGGTACTCATTCCTGTTAGAGGCAGAGTCAATCCCAGGGCCATAGTGGGGCTGGAAGGATTAGGTCAATTGAAAAATCCAGTGACTTCATTGGGAATTAAACCCATGACCTACAGGCATGTAGCATTGTGCCCCAAGCAGTTACAGTACCGTGTACCCCTGAAGAGATCCAGTATGATATATATTTAATCGTAACTTTCTGAGTTTCTATAAATACAGAATACATATAACAACTATATAATACAGTGTGGGGGCACACGGTAGTATAGTTGGTTGAGGCACTATGCTAGAAGCCAGGAGGTCATGGGTTCAAGTCCTTATGAGGTCATTGGAATTTTTTCAATGAGCTAATCCTTCCAGCCGCAGTATGGCCCTGGGGTCGACTCAGCCTCCTCTGACAGAAAGGAGTACCAGGAATATTCTTGGGGGTAAAGGGTGGCTGGTACATAAGGCTGACAACCTTGCCACCATCTATGAGCCGACTGACTAGAAATGTGGGAACCTCAACATCCCTCAACCCTATGGGCCTCCACGGCCTCTTACAGGGATACCTTTACTTTTTTTTTTATAAGAGTGTTTCATGATATAAAATATTTCAAGGAATTGTATTATTAGAGGTTTACATTTTTCTCAGTATTGGAATAATTACAAAGACAGAATATGTTAAAGTATTTTTTATTTGAGTAAGTTTATTTTTACTGCCTTCTATTAAAGAATGAATGTTCCCTATCTCCACTGACTTGTTTTACTAAAAAATTCTGTCTGTTATGGTCAGTGAACTGTAAAACCAATTAACATTGCCCAGAAGGGCCGCACCATAGCTCAAGCGGTTAGTTGCTGGCTTCCCACCATGATGGCCCAGGTTCGATCTTGGGTCTGGTCAAGTGGGATTTGTGGTGGACAAAGTGGCGCTGGGGCAGGTTTTCTCTGAGTATTTTGGTTTCCCCTGCCCACCTTCATTCCACCAATTGCTCCACAATCACCCTCACATATCATCTGGGCCTGGTACAATAGGCTAGAAGTGGCCACAGTACAAGGGACTTAGCCCCATCCCACTAGCACTAAAAAAAACATTGCCAAGAACTCAGTAAAATAAATAAACTTATTACTGATAATATAAAAATAATTGGGTGAAGCTGTAAATTGAAAACAATCTACAAAGGGCCTAGTTTACTTGTACTGTTCTCCTCAGCAGAAAGTCAGATATGTTATTGTAGGATGAAAGCAGTATTGATAGGCCTCAGTGTAATATAATATAGAACTTATGCATAGGGCTTTATATGTAACGCAGATTTGAAAGGGCTGTTATGAATGTGTTAATGAACCTTCAGGTTCCATGAAATGTTGGGAAATTCTTGAGTAGCTGAGCAACTGACAGCTTCCAAAGGAGGAGTAATCTCCATGGAGTTAGTTAATGAAGATTTGAATATATAGTGGAACCCCCTTTAATGTTCTTGGTTTAATCCTTTCCCACTCAGCCTCTTTTCCAAGTACTGGCCTAGAACAGCCAGGCAAATTTAGCTCAGTTTACAAGTCCTACTTAAAAAAATCCCTAGAAAGAGCAGATTTAAACAAAATAGCCTACAAGTCCTAATGCTATAAATAATTTGGAAAAAATATGAAACTGAAAGACATAAATATAGAAATTTAAAATTTACATAATTTAGGCAGAAAATAAGATGGTTTCTGGTATTCTTTTCTTGTCACTGAGCCTGTAAGAATATTTTTCTGTAAATGTTGATATAAGTTTTATGCATGAAGAGCTCTCTGGTCCAGAAATACATCACATTATGTAACAATGCATACATACCTTTTGTAGGTAGCCCCGGTGTTTAGGGATGCATTCTCCATGCAGCCCCTTGTTGCATCTGCAGTTAGGAGTGTGTCATGTGGGGCATCTTCATTTGAATCATCAGTTTCACTATCCAGAATAAAGTCACACACTGTCAGTTTTATCTAGATATTCCAACATGTCAAGTCATCTGACCTAGAGCTTGGGCTGCTAAACTGTGGTATGTTCACAGTAACTAAAATGACAGACCAAGAAAGCATTGAAACACCATGTAAAACATGTGAGCTCAACATATTTGTTTCAAAAAATATTGTTTGTAAGCAAATGGGTGATACCTGGTTGCAAAAACTGTGAAATAGACCTTGAAGAATTAGGCACCATCTTTTACTTCCACTCTTAAGCAATTTATATAACTAAAAGAGCATGATTTAGACTGAGCCAATAGATTGGCCGCCCGAGTGTTGTGGCCATTACCTGAGACGCCAGTGGATCAGCAAGTTGATCATATAAGGGTTAAGGTTATCACTTGTTTAGTGTGCACAGTGTCAGTGATCCAAGTCATGTATCTGTGCTAAATTTCTTCCTTTTAATATTTTATTGAATTTACTGTTCAAATCTGTTGCACCACAAACAAACCTAAAATATACAGGAGATGACAAAAATATGGAAACACCCAACAAAAAACACATTACCGTGACTAATATGGTGTATGACAACCTCTGGCTTGCAGTCTCCTTGGAATGGATAAATAGAGGTCCTGTATGATTTGCAAGGGAATCTTATACCATTCTTCCTGAGAAACATGGTAAGTTCTGTTATTGATGATGGAGGTGAATAGCGTGCACGCAGATTGCTCTCGAAAACAGACCACAAAGGCTCAATAATATTGTTATCTGGCGATTGTGAAAGCCATGGCAGATGTGACACTTCATCTTCGTTCTCAGAAAACCAGTCCTGGACGATGTGAGCTATGTGCACACAGGCATTGTTGGCTTGGTAAATGGCATCACCATTAGAGAACAAAGTTTGCACCATGGGATGGACCTGGTCACCCAAAATGGTCACATAGTCGTTGGCAGTGATGTGACCTTGCAGGCTAATGATGGGTCCGATATGGCTGCCCATCCCATGATTGAACACCCGCCATGTTTCACTCTTGGCAGCAAACAATCTGGATCGTAAGCTTCGGGTGGCGTTCTCCAGACGTAAACTCAGCCAGAAGTCAGAAACAGTGTGAAGGTGGACTCATCCAACCAAATGACTGTCTTCCATCTCTCCATGGTCCAGGTTTTGTGACTTTGGCACCACACTGTCCTCTTAGTGGCATTTTGATCACTGATGGGTGGCTTTGGAATTGCAGCTCGTCCAGAAATACCCTGCTTGTGGAGTTCCCTTTGTACTGTTTTGGTGCTGACAGGGTTTGTGGGCATGATATTCAGTTCGGCAGTCACTTTTGCAGCTGTAGTCTTCTTATTTTTCTTCACAATCCTACACAATGTTCGTGTGTCTCGATCACTCAACACACATTTCCGTCCACCCTGGTGTTTATCGGATGCGGTTTTTTCAGTCCTCCTGTATGTGGTCATAATTTTGGATACTGTGCCTTGCGAAACACCAAAAACCTTGGCTACCTTGGTTACAGAAGCACCCACAATATGGGCCCCAACAATTTGTCCGCATTCGAATTCTGTTAGCTCTGACGTGATGCACAAAAAATTGCACAGAACACTGTCTTGACAACAAATGAAGCTTGCAATGTAATGTGAAGGTTTTACAGGTAGTGGTGTTGGGCAGATATGACAGCGTGACCTACAAACGTCACTAAAATAAACACTTCAATTCAGGCATGCATTTCACGAGGTGTTTCCATATTTTTGTCCATCCCCTGTATTTCTCCATCTTTTGAAAAATGTTCAGGTTGCATTAATTCAGAATGTGAGGAGATTGTCTCAGTATTCCTTGGGGTTTTGATATGATGTTATAAAATATTAGTAATAATAATAAAAGTATTTTTTTTTTGTTTATAACCATGTATCAGACTTTAGTACCAACACCAATGTGTGAACATTTTCCTTCATTGTCTATTAAATTAAAAGCCAAAGGAAATGGCAAAATGGTGTGAATAATTATGGTATAGTATGGGTAGCTTGGTGTGAATAATTATGTTATAGTATGGGTAGCTCAATCATTCAAGTGAATGACTTCTGGCTGCAAGGCTAGGGTTCAGTGCCTGGCCTGAGAATTGGGAATTTTCTCTTTACTGTCATGTCCATATTATTCTGAGGCACAAGCAGTCTCTCACATATCCGTAGGTGAGTCAATAAGTAAGTTACAAATTGATGTGGGGTACTACATGTTTGAATGAGGCACTTGAGGCTATCGCCACTAGATAGCAGCATTAGTCCAGTGGCAATTGATGACATTCAACACGAGACAATCGATGTTTACAGAAGCGAAACAGCAGTTGCAAGATGGCGGTGCCTCTGAATATACAACCCTCGAGCAGCACTCTGTTATGCGATTGTTGCGGACAAATGGTATGGAATCAAAGAATATTCATAAAGAAATGCTTCCCATCTATGGTAAGAAGTGCCTGTCACGTCAAGCTGTTTACAATTGGGTACGAACACTGCGTTGGCTGGCCAACAGAGATTGCCACAAAGGTGAATGTGCAACAGGTTGAAGACTTAATCCGAGCAGACAGAAGGATAACTATAGACGCTATAGCCACTGCTATTGGTTCCCACAGCATGGCCTACCTCATAATGCATGACAGGTTAGGTTTTCACGGGTGCCACATATGTTGACCCCACAACACAAAATGCAAAGAATGGGTCTGGCATTACAGCATCTCAATCGCTACCACGATGAAGGACATGACATGCTAGCCCTAATTATCACAGGTGATGAGTCTAGGGTTCACCATTGCCAGCCCGAGACAAAGCGTGCGTCAATGCAGTGGAAAACATCCTGCGTCACCTGCAAAAAAAATGTTTAAGGTGACACCATCCTCCAGGAAAGTGATGCTCATACTCTTCTGGGATCATGAAGGTGTACTGCTCACTGCATTCCAGCCTCAAGGACAAACCATATTTGCCGACCCCTACTGTAACATCCTCAGGAAACTTCATAAGGCCATTCAACCAAAGTGATCGGGACTCCTCACCAAAAGCATGTTGCTCTTGCATGACAACATGCGTCCCCATACTGCCAACAAGACAAATGAGACGCTGCAAAATTTCAAGTGGGGAGTCCTCGAGTATCCTCCGTATATCCCCGACCATGCTCCAAGCGACTTCCATTTATTTGGCCCTCTCAAACATCATCTTTTGGCTGAACATTTTCCCGATGATGAAGCTGTAGAAAGGGAAGTCACCGCCTGGTTCCAATAGCAGCCCAAAGAATTTTATGCTGCTGGTTTACAGGGGCTTGCGAAACAGTGGGACAAGTACCTCAATGTACAGGGAGATTATGTTGAGAAATAAAAGCATTTTTCAAATCAGTACTCTTATTTGTTTAAGTTCTATATCCATTTGTAACTTACTTATTGACTTACCATTGTATTTAAGAGGTACTGGTGAATCATACTCATGAGATAAAGGGGCCAAAACTTGAAGCTTTTCACTTATTGCCCATTCTGACATACAGAGCTTTAGCTCAGTTCTCCCTCTGGTGTGATATTCATGGCCTTTGCTCTGCCTTATCAGGTGACATAACTTAAACCTGTTACAAGAGCTGTGTCATGACTGTTCAATGATTTGTTTTTCAGGGCTTTGAGAATGGTATTGTGAAGCTGAAGATGCAAGGCTCTTGCACTGGCTGTCCAAGTTCTGTGGTGACTCTTAAGAATGGGATTCAGAATATGTTACAGTTTTATATACCAGAGGTTTGTACATAAATGCTCTCAGGTAACCTTGTAATTAATTCAGCTTTAAATCTCTTGTCTCAGTTTCATTCAGTCATCAGTAGTTAAACATTTGCCACTGCAGAAGAAATGTTACTCTTTTTAAAGTTACAACTTTATTAGGAGACTAGGTGTAGATCTTTGCATGAATATTAAAGAAACAGGTTGTGATAGTATGAAATGTATGTATTTTGTCAGGACAGGCTGTAGACATAAGCTCTTGTGCATATGGTAATTTACCTTTCCATTCCATAACACGACTTCCATGACTTCAGGAGAGGAGGACATATTTACTTATAATTATGATGGATTTCTCCATGAAGTTACAAGTCTTTTCTGCTCCCTTTAATTAATGTAATGGTGTTTTATTTTCATTTGCAGGTTCTTGGAGTAGAACAAGTAGAAGATGAAATTCAGATAATGACAAAACTTGAATTTGAACAATTTGAAAAGAAATTGCTTGCAGAGAAAGAAAATAAAGAAAATCAGCCTTAAATGTAGTCCTGTGTTTGGAAATGTAGCAGGTTCACTAGAACATTGGTCTACCCAGTTTAAGTTTTTTTTTAATGTTTTTGATAAAACCGGTTGCGATTTTCATATTGTTGTGTAGGTAATGAGCTTTGGAATGTGGTAGGTGGTGTACCAACATTTCAGATTAACAGACCCTATACATGGTGCTTGCAGTGGTAGACCCCGTTCATGGAATTGCTGGTGCTGCTTTTTTAAAACCAGCATGAACTCTTAATAAATTGCTCAGCATCCATTATAAAGAATTCAAAATTGAAAGGGTACTGGGAATAAAGACTTTGTAACTTACAGAAGCATTACCTTGATCAGTAGGTATCACCAACCTCACTTCTTTCCACTTGCTGTCTTTATCCTCATCGCCAATTTTTGTTGTCTTACCATTGAAGTACTAATAGAAAATGACATGTGTTCCACATTCTTGGATCGTATTTGTTTCTGTTACCACTAGATAATTTGAATAATTGAAACGGGTCACGTGAACACGTATTGGCGTTCTCTATGGTCCCAAGCTCATTACTCGTGTGCACAGCATCTAGTGGTTCACTACAGAGATAAACAAATACTATGGTTACAATTTCATTTATAATTCTGGAGAGAATACTGTTGAATTCCATATGTCTCCTGTGTGTCCGTCTGCAATGAAATAATTTTTGCACTGTGTTGTCAAGGTGTGATAAATAAGCTAAAGGCATTAAAGAAAGTTGTCTTCTGGGTTTAGGCACCGTGTATTCTTCGTTTTGGCCGACGTTTCGGAGGAACATCGGCCAAAACGAAGAATAGACGGTGCCTAAACCCAGAAGACAACTTTCTTCATTGTCATCGCCGTGAAAACCTCAAAACTTACAAAGCTAAGGGCATGTTTATGGATAATAGTGATCTGTATGTTCTGAGTGATGCACTGGCATTGTAACTGATCGTTACCTACCAGCCGAATTCCTAAATGTTAGTACTCAGGACGTAATACTAATCTTATGCTAACTGTAACTTATGCCTAGTTTTGCTTTAACTATCCTAAGAATTTGTGGAGAGGAATGTCCAAGTAAGAGCTGCTAGACAGGTCTTTGATAGCTGGTGCAGTACATGAACCCATTACTCACCCCACCAGCCAAATAAAAGAAACTTCCAGGACATTTTCAATCAGTAGAACAATGAAGAAGCTTTGAGAGTAATCTAGAAGCAGAAGGTTCTAGAATATTACATCATCCCATAGTATTTAAAAGGACTTATTTCGGATGACGCTAGACAGACCAGCAAGCCGACACACAGGCTGGGAGACTGACGTATTGTATGCACAACCAGAGTAGTGTTGTGAATATAGAAGTTGAGTACAATGTGTACTAGAAAGTGCATCTGTGATTGTGAGTGACTGCTTTGTAACCTGTGTGTAGTTGTAAAATAAACCAATTATGTTATTCCATCAATAAGTTCTGATCCAGAGAATTCTTCCACAAACAAAACCTCTCTCATCGGAGCAAGGACCCTTAAGCTCTGAAGAGATCTCATTGCTCAAACCCTGAACAGTTGTCCCTCTGTCTTACTCTGAAGACATTCTGAAGCCTTCAACATGGTTTTAAGACCACATAGCCACACAACTACAACAGAGGCTACGACTATGATATCGAGGGTTATAACAGAAGAACAGCTATAGAGTGGCATCCCTTAATACAAGGCTACTACATAAGAAGAAGAGCTGTTAAAGTGTCATATTACAAAGCTTGTTAAAATTATGTTGTGTCCTCATAGTGAAATGAGAAAAAAATTATTAGATTTGAGATGCTGGATTGTGTACTGTATCGGCAAGAAAGAAGACATAGGTGTTATAAAACTGAACAATTGAAAGATGAAATATTTGAAACTGTGCTAACATGCAAAAGTATCAAGTTGCAGAATTTCAGTTGTCATCTTTTTATTGAATAATTCACCAAACTTTGATTCTTGTCTTCAGCTCTAAGTTCAGCCACTCAGTCGGGAAGGTCAGGAACACGAAACTTTCTTCAGGTCGTTATTTGGGCCTTAGTTTCAGCAAGGCACTCAGTAAAACCAACAACAAACTCACGAACACTTACACTTTATTGTATTTTATGAAATTACATTATTAATAACACTTAGTTGTGACTGAATGCAGTCATTTGTTCCCGCTGTAGGGAGCGACACTTTCAGGCGTCTTACGGGTTTCAGAGCTGGGACTTGTCTCTTTAGAACAGAGAAGAGGGTACCATATCGCTGGCTGCTAGCAAGATGTTTAGTAACTAGTGTTTCTGATTGGCTATACCCTGGGAAGTACCGAGTTAACTGCTTATGAAGATTGCATCATACCTTACTGGACAAAGGAGGAACCCCTGAATTATAAGCTTCATAATAAGTCTTGGTACACTGCGTCATCTTCCACTTAATGTATAGCCCATAGCGTAATACAACGCGGATGATTTACGCAATTTCACAAATTCATAACTTAAATCTTGCTAAAATACAGTAGTTATTAAAAAATGAAATGTATACATAAATTAAGCGAAGTATAGTATTAAAAAGGAGTAATCGGCTATAAGATATGTATATTATACAAGACTGCTTTTAAATTGGAATCTTGCTATGAAGCCGGTTTTTATTTCATTTGCGAGAATAATTATCAATAACTATGCTATTCAACGCGCATGGTCCAAGAGAAGGTCAAATGGAGGTTTCCAGTCAAACATGTTTGCGTTCGAGTTTTCGAAGTTTGCCTTTCTTCGCTCCCAGTGACAAACTGTAGACCCTAAACGTCAACTGGACAAGAGACATTTCCTCGGGTAGGGTTTTTAGTTGTTATTTTCATGGGGTTGGATGAGACAGTCCAGTTGGCACGGCAGTCACCAATTGGCCTATTGTACCAGCCTCGGATAATAGACGAGTAAGGAGCATGTGGTGGAATGAGAATTGGCAGGGGAATCCTAAATACGTGCCCCAGTGCCACTATGTCCGGCACAAATTTCACACGACAACCTGGAAACGAACGCGGAACGCCGAGGTGAAGAGCCAGCGACAAACTGCCTGAGCTATGGAACGGCCTTTCCTCATGTAACTGCTGGAATTTTACAATGTTTTGTTTAGATATTGATTATTTACATTCCTCTCTCCCTGTGGCAACCCTACGGACAAAAGAAGGAAGAAAACAGAAAATGATCCTTTCTTTTCCGTCGTTTCAAGGATGTCTTTGTCTTTGTCTTCCACGTTATACGAGTAGTAGCTCTTCTTGCATTTGTTAAAAACAAAAATTTCGTATACTTAGGCCGCTCATTAAAATAAATGGTACGGGCAAACTAAGCTGTTTTAGTAAGAACACTTCTGTTCAGCTTGTGTCGCAATTGGAAAAAAAGACAATACGAGTACATGCATCGAAAGAACTAATGGTCCCAGAAGAAAAATGTCTTCTCTCTTTGAGGTTTGAGATGACGGAGATTTAAATTTTTTATCGAGTGCGACACCCGGTTAACAGCGTTTTGGGGGAATATTCAGACTCTAGCTTCAGGATATAAAAGTGGATTCAGCAGGTTCTTGCAAACCGTTTGTAACCACTTACGATACAACATGTACAGTGTCAACCCAGGAGATTACTATCTAAAGGTTCGTCACTGTTTGTTCCTCACCATTCCACACATATTGTTGTTAAAGTAAAGTTAGCCGCTACCGAAGTTCATATTCATTTTTTTATTAACTGACTCTTCTATTATGCAAGACGTATTCCAACTGCGTAGGTCATGGTTTCTCAAACCATGGGTCGCGACCTCCTAAGGGGTCGCCGGGTGCTCAAGAATAATTTCAATGTGATTGCATCCATGCACAGATTTGTCAAGCCAATAATATTTTAATATAGGCGCTTTCGAAAAATGTACGAGTAGCTGCACCCAGCAAGAAGTTCCTTGATTTTTTCGTGACTGTACAGGAACATTTATAATTTACTGTAGGTGCAAATACGTAGTAAAGCTAGGTTCCTGCTGTCACCGTACATTATGGGGGATCGCGTTAATTCATGTAGTATTTTATGGGGTTGCGGTGATCATAATATTTGAGAAAACACCTGTCATAGGAGGTATACAGTAACCAATGCTGGGAGAAAATATTGTAACAGATTTGATCAACGCGTTGCCAGGCAACAGCGCTTTAAACACGGTCCAACACGCAACAATGGAGGAAGCTGTGTTTTTTGTAGATCCTATCGACGCGTCAATAGACTGGCTGGATAGCGATCACGTGATATGTGTTTAATGTAGGTCCATGTCCGTTCCGCGGCTATGTAAGTAAGAGTGACATAATTCGTTCAGGGCCTCAGGGCAGTTACGAGTAGTAGCAGCGGCAGAAGTTGCCAAGCGGAAAGGTCGAGGATTACAAAAGAGTATAGGAAATCATCCTGTGAAGATTTAATGAGTTTTTTAAAGAGTTCATGTGTGCTAAAGTGCAGTGGTATTGTGAATGTGCGATTTAGGGAGACTGTTATAGTTCCTGTGTTACAAATCCCTGAAGACTAATGGAGATAGCCTGAAAAGAGTAGCATGGAGTGCTTTTTAGTATTAAAATCAGTAACAGTCTTATAATTAACTGTAATTACGACCTGTAAGTGGTCAACAAATCCAGCTACGAATCCGAACCCCGTCTTTAGTCATTGTGACACGTGACAGTATAAGTCTGTGACAGTACTTATGCAATATCAGAAGGCCGCGCCATAACTCAAGCGGTTAGTCGCTGGCTTCCCACCGCGGCGGCCCGGGTTCGATCCCGGGTCTGGTCAAGTGGGATTTGTGGTGGACAAAGTGGCGCTGGGGCAGGGTTTCTCCTAGTACTTAGGTTTCCCCTGCCCATCTTCATTCCACCAGTTGCTCCACAATCACCCTCACCTATCATCTGGGGCTGGTACAATAGGCCAGAAGTGGCCGCAGTACAAGGGACGTAGTCCCACCCCACTAGCAATAAAATTTTTTTAAAAAATATGCTATATCAGGGGCTCAGTCAACTTTTTTCACATGAGATCGCTATTATTATTCTGTTTTCGTAGACTCATAACATCCTCTGAGACTGGCAAGTAGGTCCGTTGACATTATCTGTTTAACGTCCTAATATACAAGTGGGACGCCAGAAAGCCACTTCTTGATTGTTATTTCTTTTTATTCAGAGTTTTCTGATGGGGTTTCATGCGAAAAGGACGTAAGAAAATCATTCCTTTAGTGATTTTTTATATAGTGAACTGTTAACTAACTCCATCGTGCGGAGCCCTTCTTGAAAAGCAGTCAGTTGTGCAGACACTCAAGAGTTGCCCA